CATAATCAAGCCTTTAAGTACCAGGATATATAAATATTATATACACTGCAACTGTAATTTCTAAGTAAAACATGGTACAACCATGAACTATAGAACATGTCAACTCACTACAGCTTAACTGGATCCTAAAAAGCCCGATCCTATTAACACAAAGCCCAAACTGCACACAAATAAATGCTGATCTTAAAAAAAAATCTATGGCTCAGTTATGATTATCCAAAAAACACACTTAAAAAAAGTGACACCTTCAAAAAAGGCCAGAAAACCAGTTCCACTCATAAAACAATTTACAAAATTTTAACCAACTTCAACTTGTTCCACAGGGTAGACAGTACTGTAGATAATAAACAAATAATTAGAAATGCATAATGTATTAAAAACACATAAAGGAACAGCTCAGATATAAATTTACAGAAATTGGAGAGGCTGCCCACTTCCTGGAATGCTTTACAAATGTCTCTTGGTACCAATTCCCAGCTTCTCAATTCCCAGCACTGCCATTATATAAAGGTAAACACTATAATTTTTTTTTCAAGCAATATTTCTTTGTTTTGATGAAAAGAAATTAAGCCAAAATGTTTCCAAAGTCATTAAGAAAAACAACTTCACTACACCGAGACTAACCTGCTAAAATGTTTTTCTGCGTAATTATTTTTCAAGCAGACTGTTATAAATAACACTGAGGATATTTAACTATAGATCAGTAGAAAATTAACATTAATGTCAACACTGAAGGGACGAAGTCAACATATACTAATTCACACTGTCCAAAACTATTTTTAAACAAGCAACACTGAGAATTGTAAGAAAAATTAAAGAATACTGTCACTGTGCACTTACTTTGTAAGCTTAATAGAAGCACAGATAAGCACGTTGTTAATTTTGTCAGCACATGTGGCCTTTACACAAAGGAAATACCATTTTTAAAATCAGCTGGAAAACAAAAGGGCTGCAAAACCATGAGAGGTAACACAGACTAAAACGTGGCATATTGTGCGGAACTACTCCATCTCTCTTTAAATCGACTTCAACATCAATACTTCTAAATGGAAACATGCTTCAGATTTTGTCCACAGGATATGACAAACTGATTAAACTCAATGAATAGGAATTAACAAGCATCTTAGACCCAATACATCAGACCAGCTACATCAACCTACATCTGTATACATGCCAATTACAGCTTATGAAACAACAATTTGTCACTGCAATGAAGTCAACTTGGGCTAAATACTGGAAGTATCATCAAAAAAAAAAAAAAAAGGAAAACAAAAAGAAGGAAGAAAGAAAGAAAAAGGAAATGCTTTGCAATTCACTTCCAATACAATGGATGTCCTCGCCCTCCCCCCCCCAAATAATCTTTAAGCTTCACCTCCTGCCAGAATGTCTTCCTAGGAGAAACAGACATCAAGATAGCAGCAGGGCTTTTGTTTGGGGTTTTTTTCCTCCTTCACGTTAATGTTCTTGTCAACTACAGAAGCATAATAGTGAGCACTTTCTCATACACAAGACTGGCTACATTGGATTTCCAGCATTTCAGCCAGTTTGAAAGGTGATCTCTCTCTCAATTTCCGCCTCCACTCCCCCAAAACCACACTAGCTGCAAACTATGATTTTCAAGCTCCCTTTCTGCAAAATAAACACAAAATTTTTGGCAGCAGCAAACTCCATTCCTCTGTCACACACACTGACAGTGTGTACACCATTACAGGAAAGTTTGATTTCTTCTGGCTTATCACATATCCAATACATGGAGCAACAATACAATATTCCTGACCTTTAGTCTATACCTTCAATAATTCATAAAACTATATAGATCTGATGTCTTATATGCTCTTCTGATTTGCTGCACCCAGCAGCAGGACTTAACTTAGTTCACCACACTACAGCCATACATCCTACAAAGCAAAACTACCAGCAAAGGGGGGCTGCAGCCCAGACCTGGGGCATGCATAAAACCAACAACCACATTAAAGCTCTGGACATGAATCTTCGTCCATCCCTGAAACAGATCCCACTTTTCTCCTTATTAAATTCTGTCAGGGTGTGGCTTCATTAAATCAGAGTTCCCATTGCAAAGGCCTCCTGAATCTCCCCCAAGTGTCTTGAGCCAACACACGCCTCAGTGAACCCCACCAAAAACGAGGAGTTCCTCCTCGAGGCACCAAATGGAAGCCCACGAGACTCCTCCTGCTGCACAAGCATCCAGAGTTGTTCCCCAAACACTCACAACCCAGGACCTCTTTCCAGTCTCCCCAGACAGGCACCCTGCCCACGTCACCTTAACCACAGGTAACCAGGGAACACTCCAGGCCTCACAGAGGAGTCACTGCTCCAGCCTGGAAGCCTTTTGAAAAGGTTCTGTGGCGAGTGTGCTGCTCTCACACTGAAGGTAAATTTTTGCCTTTGTGAAGGATTCCTCTGGAAACATGACTCAATGGTTTTCCTTACCTGCTACACTTGCACATAAATCTTACATTGTAATGTGCTGTAGATTCTTAAATCAGTCAGTCAGGATTTCATAATTATGGAGTCTAGGGTCTTTGTTAGCTGTTGTTGCTCCATGCACAAAAGGAAAGATTTTGTTGCTATCGCTGTAAAACCTATTAATTAACTGCACGTACATACGGCCACACTTTGTACAATAAAAATAACTGCTACACGGAATTAAAGTGGTCTGCTAGATTAATTACCCTAAACCTTCCTGCACAGCATAAATCGCACGAAGCCTCATGCACAGAGAAAAGGAATTAAGGAGAAAACACCTTAAAAATAACAACTTCTTACTTATCAATAACAGCGGCAGAAACACATGCACAGTCCCTGGAAGTAAAAAGAACAAACAAAACCGAAACTGATTCAAGCCACGAAATCCCTCTCGAACATCTCTGCACCAAACAGTAACGGTTTAATCCTTCTACTTCCTTAACAATCCACCTTTCTCAGAGACAAGTTTTATGAAGAACAAGCTTCGTGAGTTCCTGTGCAATTCATAAATGTCCAAAACGCTGTCTGAAAACTGAGGTGAAACACCAAAATATTTGGTTGCTTGGGGTTTTTTTCAGTATTTGCTGCATGCATTCATACATTAATACAGCACAAAACATACAGTGGTATTTCTAGAAATATATTTCAAAACTATGAAAATGCCCCACAACTTCAACAGACTGTACATACTAAACTACAACTGCCTGACATAAAAAAAAGCATTAATGCATTATATGTAAGAAAGGACTCCAAAACTCAACTAATATGCTGAATTGCTGCCTGCATTACTTGATTTTACAGTACACAAAATAAAACTTAAACCCAGGAACGCTATGTGACAGATGATCTAATTACATATGATGCTTTTATTTGCTATCTGGCATCCTTAAGCTCTATCCCATACGGAATTCTGTCTAATATTTCCGACAGCCACAGCAGCATTCACAGAGCAGACACGAATTCTGGTCTACCAACAGTTAACGTACATTATTTAACTGGTCTGACATGTCACTCCCCTACCTTTTTGATTTATGGGAAACAGTGCTCTTATAAATAACTCCGAAAATCGAAAGGAAACCGCGAGATTTTTTTTAAAATACAAGCACAAAGAAAAAGTGTACTTGCTTTTCCTTCCATCCTTCCCCCCTCCCCCTCCACGTCCTGACATTGAGCTTTTCCAATCCTGCTAGAAATAAACACCTAAACACAAGGAAGGGCCTGGGGTATCCAATTCAACACGGTTCGGAGGGAGATCTTCAGATCAACCAAAACCAGCAACACGAAAAAAAAAAAATAATCATCCACGACACAGCCCGGGCACAACAATGGGATGAGCAGTGTCAAACGCCAGGCTACTGACAGGAACAAGCCAGGAAGCAGGAACCAGAGAAGCCCCGTCCCCTCCGCTTCAGCCGGGTGGCATTTTAAAAACAGCCCCGCTTATCCTGTTACCCAAAGGTTTCCCTGGCGTTTGGTGTTTTGAGCACAGCTGGCAGACACTCGGCCCGCACAGCCTTTGTCAGCAGCTCACGGATGGGCAGCAGAACGTGCTACAGGTTGATAAGGAGGGCACCGGCGCCGCGGAGCAGCAGGAAAAGCGCCCAGAAAGAACTTGGGATGCGCAGGAGAGTTTCCCTCGGCCCTCCCCGGGGGCTCCGCGCTTCCCCCACACTCGCTCCCCCGGTGTTTGTTTCGTGTTTACCTCCCCCCCCTTCCCTTTCTCCTCCCTGTCCGGCCATCTTGGGGCCGACAGGAGCAGCCATTACTTAACTAAATGACAGGGCCAACAACTTTCCGCGGAGGCAAACACCTCTCGCAGGACACACCGGGACGGGCGGGACGCCCCGCTCGCTGTCAGGCCGGGCCGCCGGGCGGCACGCGGGGCTCGGCCGGGGCCGGGCGAAGGCAGCGGGGCCCGGCGAGTAAACAAGTCACTCCGACGGGCTCCGGGGGCCGCTCAGCGCCGCGCCCGCCCCGGCCCGGACCCCGCGCTGCCCTGCGGGCTCCGGCCCCGGCCCCGCTCCCGAGGCGAAAATCACGAGGGAGGGTCCGGGCAGCGGCAACGTCAGCAGCGCCGAGCGCGCCCTGCCTCCCTCCTCTCCCCCCGCTGCCACCGCCTCCTCCTCCTCGTCCTCCACCTCCCCCCCCTCCGCCCCCGCGCCCCCCTCCCCCGGCCCGTCCGCTCCGGGCCCCGGGGCTCCGCCACTTTCTCCGTCCCGGGGCTGGACGGGGAACACCCGCATGGCCGCGCTCCCCCCTCGTCCCGCTCGGGCTGGGGGGGGTGGGGGTGGGGAAAGGGGGCAAAGGCGGCAGCGACGCGTGGGGGACCCCGCGGGAGGTGTCCGTGCCCCTCGCACACCCCCCGCACACACTCACCGTGCGGGCCCGGGGGTCCCGGGGGAAGGGGCGGCGGGGCCGCCGCGCTCCCCCATCCCCCGCTTTCCCCCCCCTTCCACCACCGCCACCCCCCCCTCCCCGCGCCATCCCCGCTCCACATCCACCCTCGCGCTTACCTTTAACAGCAAGGCCTTCGTTCTGGCGCCATCTTCATGAAGCCTCAGAAATCCGAAGAGCCGGCTGCGAGGAGGGGAGCGGGGCGGGAGGGAGGGGAGAGAGAGAGAGAGAGAGAGAGAGGCACCGGCGTTAGCGGAGAGTCGGCGCGGCGGGCGGGCGAGGGCAGAGCGCGGGGCCCGGGAGCGGCAACACGGGGAGCCGCGGGCAGGGGAGCGGGGGGGACACACGGGGAGGGGGCGCGGGCCGAGCCGGGACACGGAGGCGGCCGGGGCGGAGTGGGGAGCGGGTACCTGTCGAGGCCGGAGAGGGCTTCTCTCTCCTGGGCTGTCAAGCTGGCGAAGTCCTCCTCGCTCTGGCCGCTCGCTTTCCCCGCCGCCATTTTCTTTTCCTCATCCCCGAAAGGAGCAGCAGAGGCGGCGGCGGCGAGCGACACTCCGCACGATTTCATGGAAACGCAGCGTAATTAACTCGCGGATCGCACCCCCCCCTCCCTGCGCGCCCCCAACACCCCCCAGCGCCGGGCGGGGCGGGGTGCCCGACACACACACACACCACAACTTTTATTACAACAACAACAGCCGGCAGGGAGGGGGAGGGAGGGAGGGAGGGAGGGGAGGGGAGAGGGAGGGAGGGAGGCGGGGGGAAGCCCCGCTGCTCGGAGGAGGAGGGAGGGAGGGAGGGAGGGAGGGGAGGGGGGAGGGAGCCCCAGCGCTGGAGAGTCGGGGGAGGAGGAGGAGGAGGCGGCGGCTGCGGATGGCGGCGGAGCGGTGTTTACATCGCCGCTCAGCCCCTCGGCGGCGGGCAGGGGGGCGACTTGGGGTGTCGAGGAGCACGGGAGAGAGGGGACCACCCTGCCCGCCCGCCCCGCGGTCCGGGGCGTGTTTTGCCGCCCGAACAAACTTCGGCGGCGCCGCTGCCCAAAGTTGTTGCAATTGTGTCACCCCGCGGACCCCGCGCGCGCCGCCGCCGCGAGCCCCCCCTCGGCCCCTCCCCGCCCCCCCCGCGCGCGCCGCGCCCCCGGGCCAATCCGCGCCGCCGGCGCGCTCCACGTGACCTTTGTTGACTTACGTCAGTCACAGCGCTCCGCCGCCGCTGCGCTCTCCGGGGCGGTTGGCGCGCGCCGCCCGTCCCCCCGCCGGCCTCACCCTATTGGCCGGCGGCTGAGGGAGGGGGCGGAGTTTCGCGGATCCGCGGTCTATGATAGGTCGGACGCGCCGTCGGTCACACGAGCTTTGCGATTAGCGGACGCGAGCAGGTTGGGGTGCGCCTTTAAAAGCGGGCGGCGGGGGCTTGGGGGAGGTGTCGGGAGTGGCGGGCGGTGAGGTGGGAGGGGGAGGAGGAGGGACTCGGGTGGAGTTGCGTAACGGGGGCTCCGGGCTGGGGGAGTGGACGCCACTTAAGGAAGGGGCTATGCCCCACCGGCGGGGCGGGGGCCAGCCGCGCGTCGCGCTCTGCCCCGCCTTGCCTTGGGCGCGGCGCACTTGGCACAAGCAGCAATTAATGGCTTCGGGGAGCGCGGACGGTGCTGGCCGGGGTGGCTCCGAGGCGACGGCAGTCGGGCAGCCCGTTAACGCCGGGGCGGGGGGGCTTCCTTCTTCCCCCCCTCCCTCCCCTGTTGGTTCGGCCCGTCCCGCCCCTCCCGAGCCCGTGACAGGTGGAGCGGCACCCGACGCGTGCGCGCGCCCCCGCCCGCGGCCGTCACGTGGCGCCGCGCGCGCCTCGCGCGAGACTCGCGGCGCGAGGGGTCTCGCGATGCCTCGGCGGCCCCGGGGCGTGAGGGCGGGGAAGGGCCCGGCCCGGGCTTGGAGCGGCGGGAAAGTCGCGAGGGAGGGAAGGGAAGAGGAAAGCCTGGGAATTCGGGCTTCTGGGGACGCCTCGCGCGTGAGTAAAGGTCTGGATTTCTTGGCGCGCCGGAGGGGAAGGGGCTTGGCTTTGCTGCTTTCTTCTTCTTCATACAGCTGAACGCGACCCCCAGGCCACCCTGTGGCTGGAGCGTTGCCTGGGCATCATGGAATGGCCTGGGTTGGAAGGCATCTTAAAGATCATCCAGTTCCAACCCCCTGCCATGGGTCCCTTTTCACCAGACCAGAGTGCTCGGAGCTCCGTTCAACGTGGCCCTGAACAATTCCAGGGATGTGGCATCCACAGCTTCTCTGGGCAACCTGTGCCAGTGCATCACCACCATCCTCGGATTCCTTGGGTCCTCGACCCTTCCCAGCTCACCCGGGAAGCCGAGGAATCAGTTTTCTCCTTACAGTGCCACGCAGCCAGGAGGCTTTATGGTGTTTTTTTTTTAAGTGAGGTGTTTGTAAATTGTTTGATTGCGGCTCTCCTGTGGTGCATATGAGAAGGTGAGTCTACTGTGGAGGCACAGCTCATCCCCCTTTTGCTGGAAATGGATCAGAACGTTGTTCCGTAACAAGTCTGTGTTGCTTCTCCAGTGTCAGGCTGAAGCCCCATGTCTGGACAGGCTTTTCCCATTGGAATTTCCTCTTCTATGATTGCTAGATGCTCTAAAGCAAAGGTGAAGCCATCGAGTGCCTTTGGGAATTATGTGAGCAAGGTCAATGGCCAAACTATGCAAGGGATGTTCAGTCACAGTACTGTTGCTCGCTGGGTCTCCTTTAATTGCTACCCTCAGATCATGTGCTCATTATGTTGAAGCACTCTTCTGTCTCTGTAGGTGCTAAATTAACATTTATGCACCAGTGATGTTTTCCAGGTGGATCCTCACATTTTTTTCTGGTCCCGATGGTGCAGGGACACTGACGGGAGTGGAGATCTGGGCAAGACAAAGTCTTGAATAATGCAAACAAAGACTCAAATTAGGATGTCCTGGCTCCCCTTAAAACCAAACTATTGTCGTATAGCTCTGCTTTCTCTTGGAAGTGCAGGGAGAACAGAAGAGCACCTGGGTTTGCTGAGGTTGCATATCTTCATAAACAAGCAGCCAGTTTGTCAGAGTATTTGTATAAGAGTTTGGAGTGCAGATAAAACCCAAGTTATTTTTGGTTCTGGAAATGGGCCGCAGTCTGCTAATAGTGAAAACAGCTGTGATCAAACATCTGCCTTCTTCTGTATTGTCCATGGATTCTCTGTCCTGTGTTTTCTCAGCAGTGTTTCCTCAGGTACCGAGCTTGGCACCAAGGACTTCACTGGCTGGGAACATGCCAAAAATAAGGTATTTCAACACAGATTGTTTCTGAGGTGTTGAGTTTCCACTTTGCAGTGTCCCAAGTATAAATCACCAGAAATTAGAGAAGACAGAACCATTTCTGGGTAGAAGGAAGGCATCTGCTAAACTACAGAGCAAATCAAGGGACTGTAGAAGCAAAAAAGAATTTTAGTTCAGTTGGAAATATAATGAGAAACTCACATGCACCTGAAGTCACAACACCTGAGTGACTTCTCTAGTACTGTCAATACTACTCTTAACCTCCCACATCCTCCTGGAATTGAATTTCCAGATGCCATTTTTTCTTTATTTGATCTACTGCTTGGATGAGTTGAGAGGTGCCACAAAGGCCTGGATATTGCTTCAGCTCTTCAAGGCTCAGAGTCTTTAATAATAACAAGAAAAGCTTGAGCATGCACACTGAAGCTGCTTGCAAACAGGCAGGTGACAATTTTGGGGCTGACAATGATACATGATTACTTGTATGAAAGCAGAGAGGCTGTTTCAGACAAATGTGATGCCTCCAGTGCTGAGATATGCCCTGGAAGCTGAATTCAGAGGGAATGTGTCTTTAAATTCAGGAGAAGGAAGGAAACTGCCCTGTAGTTCTGTATCAGGTAAGAGCCACCGAATGACTGTAGGGATGGAGCACCTCTCCTATGAGGAAAGGCTGAGAGAATTGGGATTGTTCAGCTTGGAAAAGAGTGACCTAATTGTGGCCTTCCAGTATCTGAAGGGAGCCTTTATAGGAAAGATGGAGAGAGAATATTTACTAGAGCCTTGAGTGACAGGACAAGGGGGAATGGCTTCAAACTGAAAATAGGTTTAGATTAGATAATAGAAATTCTTTACTGTGAGGGTGGTGAGGCACTGGCACAGATTGCCTAAAGAAGCTGTGGATTCCCCATCCCTGGAAGTGTTCAAGGCCAGGTTGGATGGAGCTCTGAGCAACCTGGTCTAGTGGAAGGTATCCCTGTCTATGGCATATGGGGTTGGAACTGGATGATCTTTAAGGTCCCTTCCAACCCAAACCATTCTATGAAGTATTAGCTGACTCATTAGGTTTTAGCTTAGTTTAAATGTGGAAGTTACCTGTTAGTCTCCAGAACCACTTTGTTACCTTCTGTGTGAAAGCTGTGGACTGATAAGTCTGTGACTGAACACCACTCTTTGGATCCCCCTTTCCTGTGTGTTTCCACTCCCATTAATTTTCCCTGCAGTTTCTTTGTGTACTCCTGTACCCTGTCATGCTGCAAGACCTGCCCAATCTGTTAAGAGACTGAGCACTGCTGGTTCATGCCAGAGAGACCTCAGTGTTCCAGGAAGGGGTTTGGCACTCTGGGAATCTCTGCAGCTTGAAATTGAGATGCCAAGTTAATGTGCCGCTTTTTGAAAGTAATGTTAGAAACAGCAGAAGTTTTGTTTTTGATTTCTCCTTGTAAATAAATACACATCACCTGATGCCTTGCTAAGCTGAAAACAACTCCTGAAGTCACTGCCAGAAGAAGCTGATTTGGAAGGAAGACTCTGCTCCAACAGTGGGATTCAAGCTCTCATCTTAATGATGTCCAAGGTAGTTGTGATATCTCAAGCATTTGGGTTCACTGACAAATAGGACGAGCCTGAGCACATATATAGGGACACAATCCCAGGAAAAGAACTTTGTGTAGCACGGAACAGGGAAAGGATGACCTGCTTTCAGGTCTGCTTTTTCTTTGTTCTCTCGTCAGTATTACATTTCACTGCCATCAACTCCAAAAATCAAATGTGTAGTTTGCCATTGTCAACAAGGCAGGTACCACCAACCTGCTTTCTCAAAACCACATTTTTTCCTGGACAAATTGGCTTTGTTTTGTATGTCTCTGTAGCTTTTGCTTTACAAAAGGGCAGAGGTTCAGTGCAACATTTCTGTGGTCATACCAAGTGTACTGAAAAGCCAAACATGCTTCATGAAGGTTTTCTGCCTTGAGAGGATGACTGCGATTCTCTTACTGTCTGACCTCCCCATCTGGTCCATTCTCAGATGCTTGTTTCCAAGAATAAGGATTTAGAGAAACTATTGATTCTTTATTAACATATTTGGTGTCACTTCAAAGTCAGTAGCAAATTTGAAGTAGATGAGTCCCTACTGGATCCAATTGAAATCTTATGGCATTCTATAGTCCAAGACTTACTAGCTAGTCACCTACAGCAAGATTCATCATTTCAGCCCTTATTAAAACTAAGGGCTTGAAGTTGGGCATATCAGTTCCAACTGGGCTTTCATTCCTGCTTTTTGAAGTTCTTGGCAGCTGTAAGCCATGAGCTGCTGAGGAGGTGAGGGCAGCAGTCATCCCCTTCACACAAGAGTCTGAAGCAGCTCAGGAGGCACCTGTGATCTCTGCTGACGCTGCTGTTCAGAAAGGATTTTGAGGTGTGCAGTCAACATCATGCTCAGAATGGCTCAGAGGACCTCAGACTCTAAGGCAAATCCTTTTGCAGTAGCTCAGGAGCAATGTGACAGGACAACAACCTTGGATGTGTGGGACACAACTGAAAAACAGCAAAGAAAAGGCAGGCAAACCAAGAGAACTCACAGGGTACCATTTTGTGTCTTACAAAAGATAAATCTAATGCCTGCATTTTTACCATCTTGCCAAATTTTAGTCAAGTTGCCCAAAATATGTGAGTATCAGCATATAAAGGAAAGCAGCTTAAAGTAATACAACCTGACAAGAGGTCAGTCAGGGAGAAACCATCCCCTTCATTTAACCTCCCACTTTTATTAACACATTGTTTGTTTCTACATCTGTTTTCCTCACTGTTCTTTTCTTCATTTACTCCAAGGTAAAAGCAGAAAATCTTGAATTGTTAAACTGTTTTGTTCTTGAAATTTGGAACAAAAAAGCCCCCAGTACTTCATTTTTGTATTTTAGCAGTAGCTCCTGTGTTGTCCAGGAGTTCACAATAAAATGATCTGCAAATTACATTTTCTTTGTACTTCCCTCATTAAAGTTCTGATGAGTGTGTGTGTGATCTGTGTTATATTTTGACAGTGTATCGTGGTCAAGAAAGTGGAGGAAACTGATATAAAACTCAAGGGGTTTGTTTTGGTTTGATTTATTTTTTTTCCCCAAAATGCACAAAAAGGCAAATGTTCTTGCTGGCAATAAGGAAAATCAGTGCATTTGTAGAAGAGTTATTATTAAAAATAGAAAATATTGGGAAAAAAAGTCATTCTGATACTGTTTATCCTTACATTGATGAAAAAATTGCTCTTCAATCTCAGAAATACCTTACTAACTTTGGGTAGTGAGGGGAGTAAAAGTGAACTGATCTAGGAAATGTGTTACTATAAAGAAAAAAGGATATTTTTCTTTCATAAAGCATTAAAAAACTAGTTATTACTAAATGCTTTAGTTATAGACCTTAATTAGTATTGCTCTGTCTTGCTTAAATCTTGCAGTCATTTTTGTGTGTTGCCCTCTATTCCCCTTGGTAAACATGACTTTTAAAACCTGGATTGTCTCTGAAAGGCTTAATGCTGAAATTCATCTGGAATTCCCGTGGTAGTTCATGGTCATAAGAAGTGCCCACAGTTACCAGGTAAACGCCAACGTCCATCACTGTGCAGCAACATGGAAAACCATGAATTCGTATGCATGACCCTGACTGTATTTTGAGCTGCTCATGAAATTCAGAAATCAGGGGGTTTTGGATATTCTGTAGATTTGCTGTGTGAGAGACGTTCTCTGCATGTCAGCATGAGCCCACTGACCTGTTTGCTGAAGTGTGACCAACAGAAGAAGAGACTTTTAGAAAAACTACCACTGTATCATGCTTTTTGTGCTCTATAGATCTGTAATACCAACAGTCTCTGCAGAGCTGGAGAAATAAATAATACAAAAAATTATACTTGTCCAGGAAGTGGTTCCTTTACGCTACTTCTGTTAGTAGATTTTTAATTTTATTTACAGTCCTGCCTGTACCTCCTGCCCCTGGCAGCTCTGATGGTGTCCATTCATGTGTATTCCAGATGTGGACTGCTTTCATTTGTAGGAATAGTCTTGGAAGGTAAGTAGGTAAGTGTCTGCCCTCCCTCTAGGAACCAGTTGTGTCAACTTGTCACTTGCCACCTTCCGAAGAACTCGCCTGTTTGAGAGAAGAGGATCACAAACAAGGATCTCTGCTCTTCCAAAACTGCAGAAAAAGTGGGATTTCTTGCATTCGTCACTATGCAGGAATTTAATGTGTCTGTTGAGAAGCTGAAGATAAAATGCTGTGTTTATATTAACTTCTCTTCAGATTGACAATTGTAACTATAGAACTTGGCCAATGCTGTCAGGGAGGGGAAAAAAAACCCCAGCTTTGTGTTTCTTTAGTGGTCTTGTATGTACTGACTTAAAGTAAGTTGCTGAGCTGATACTTTTGTAGCCAACTGGTTTTCTGGCTTGTAGGTAAAAACAAGTAAATTGCATTTGTAAACCAGCTCTGAGCAAAGGATTTCTGTGTAAGCATTTGAAAAGAGCCATTTGTGATGCTGAGTGAGCTAGGCGAGTGGATATCTTGTTAACTTCTGTAAATCCTGGGACAGAATGCAGTATTATCCAAAATACATTATTATCTGATATTTTTGTTCTCATGGAGCAGAGGGTGTCACGTGCTCTTACTGGATTTAATTTAGCAGTGTCATAGAAAAATCTTTTCAAGAAAGTATCTGAGAATTATTTATTTTAAAAGCCTCATCCATTGTGTATATTGCTTTTTGTTAATGTTCTTGTGGGTGTCTGAAAGGATAAAACCTTCAGTAACCAAGCCGAAAATGTCTTTTGGTTGTAGTCTCTCCCTCCTGTCCATTTAATACAACATCTGCCTGGGCAGCCACTTTGAAAATCGGGTACTTTGCACAAGTAAGGGTAGGTATTAAATCTTGTAGTTGTGCGGAGATGAGACTTTAAAGGTGCAAATAGCAGAAGTGGCTTTGGGACAGAGTTGGGGTTTGGGTTTGTCATAGTTAAGGCAGTGGCTCAAGAAGCACAGACAAAGACAGTTCTCAATCATCCATTAACACAGTTCAGGGTTCCCTCAGAGCTATGGGTGAGTCAGGGGGCATTTCAAATAGAATAAAACGTGATGCTTGAGTCTGAGGACTTTGCTGTAGGACATGCAACTCACCCTTACATTCTTACATTTTTGAATGTTCCCAAAATTAACAGGTGGCACCCTGTTAATTTGATGCTTAGGACTCAGTGAATACAGGACAGGCTTGTACCCAAAGCACGTAAATGTGTTCATCGTATGTAACTGGAAGATAACACGCCAAACTGAAATTTTCACATTTTTAGTATAAAATGGCTATTATCAAGAGGTAGGTTATGTTTAGAACTTCTCTAGTGGTTTGTGCTCCACTGTCAGTAAGAGTTGGATCACAGAGTGGAGCACACCAGGATGGTGTGAGGAAGACAAGCGGTTTCCACCGTCAGCTTGACATTCATAAAACCAAAAGCTGTCCCTGCCTATAAGTATGTATTTTCCCCTGGCTTCCTCCACCCATCAGCTGTGCTTCACTTGGGAACCTGCGAAACAGGAAATCCTTAGGAATGGTTGAGAGAATTTCCCATCTTAAAATTTCTCAAGGTGTAGTTCGGTTTATGTTTGAATGTTTGTAGTTGTGTATTTATATAAATAGACTCAGTACTACTGAAATCAGTTTGTGAGCTCTTCTCTAGGAGTGTTTTGGTTTGGTTTTTTGGCTGTAACAAGCCCTGTGGTGGTTTACTCTTGCGAGGAAAGTTAAAACGCAGTGTTTCTCTCCATGGATATATAATCCCAAACTGAAAGCCCAGTGAGAGGAAGGAAATTGCCATTGGTCTCAGTGGGACAAAATGCTCTTGGGAGAAGGAGCAGCAACGGGAAGCTGCAATGGGCAATGTTTTCCAAAGCCTTGATTCACTTAAATTGGTGCTTTTTCTACCAGTACTGAATACACAAAATTTCACTAAGTTGTGGATTTAAATCTTTATATGACAAAACGCTTGTCCAGTGGCTTCTTAGTATCAATGAGAAGAAAGTCCCTCTAATATTCCTTCCTCTCAGTCAAAAAAAATCCACATCCCCTGTTGAATTCACAGGCTTACACATAGGAATCCAAGTGACTGGAGGTCTAGAGACCACACAAGTAACGATGCAATTGGCTCTATTTTCAAAACACCAAAAGTTTTGAAAGAACTTGAATACATTTCTTCTTCCCAAGGGTAGTTACACAAAAATGACTGGGGCATAATCTTAAGAAATTTACACTGATCCTGCTCAGGTTACAGTTGTTTACTGTACAAAATGGAGGACAAATGTGTTATTTTAAAATTTAAATACTATTGTCAATCATGTAATTGGTTCTTTTTTTTATTAATTGGTTTGTTTTGTTTTCATTACATGTCCCTTAAGTGCAGGCATATTTCTAATGAATAATCCCACCATGCTAAGAAGCCACACCTGCAGGTTCTGCAATACCTTCTGAAGAGACTTTCTGCTCAGTACAGATAAAGTCCCATTTTTAATGGATCAGTTCAGATAATCTTGCAAAGTTTGAATGTTTATTGGAACTTTATTCAGGAAATCAGACAAGACACAGGTTTTCTTGCAAATTCAGGGTTGTTCCTGGTTTCTGTTACATCAGCCCATGTTAATGGAGACATCCTGCAAAGTCTCTCTGAAAACATAACTAAGTGCAATGTGTATCCTTAGTTAAGAACAACTCTTTCATAGCCACTGTTAAGCCTCTCTTATGAACAAACTGAATTTTTTCAAATCTATTTAGGGTTATTAATTTTGCAATGCAAATGCTATCTGTCAGTGGTCTGCAAAGAAAGCATGGGACACAGAAGCAGGAGGATTACAGTTTCTGTCTTCCAGGTGGAGGGGTTTGGTTTTAAACCCTGCCATGAGTGGGTGGGTTGGCAGCATAAAAGAAAGGGAGAATCCGTCAGGAGCTGGTGAGCTCAGCAGTAGAACAAGAGGCAATGGGAAGAAACTGATGCCCAGAAGTTCCACCTGAACATGAGGAAGAACTTCCCTGTGCAGTGACCGAGCACGGGAACAGATTGCCCAGAGAGGATGTGAGATGTCCCTCACTGGGGATATTCTGGAGCCATCTGGACACAATCCTGTGCCGTGTGCTCTGGGATGGCCCCACTTGAGCAGGGAGGTGGGACCAGATGACCCACTGTGGTCCATTCCAGGCTGACCCATCCTGTGATTTTGTGAACAAGGTGGTGAGGAGAGAAGAGAGCCAAGGCACGAGGTAGGTTTGGCCACTGGCTGGAGAGGCCTTTTCTGTAGCCAGTTCTTGACCAGTCCCTTACTCCAGCTCTTCCTTCTGTGGCTGTCATAGTTTTCCTCTGGTTGTGTAGAACATGAATGTTCTGTTAAAATGACAACGTGTCTGGCAAAAAGCAGAAACGATCACGTGGGATTTGGGTTTTCTCCCCAGTCTTACCCAAACAAATGACTGTGTCAGCACTTTGTCAAAAATTACACAGCTGGGTAACCAAAATGACGGTGCCTCAGAATGGGGTCACATGACATGAATTTGGGGAAAGCAAACCCTGCCTCTGACAATCCCTTCCCAGCCACTGTTACCAACCCTCTGCCATCCCTCAGCAACACTGATTTAGCTGTTACAATGCCGTGCTGGAAACTGAGGCAAAGTCATTGAGATGACCTCAGCTAAAAACAAAGAAACCAGCTCCCCTCCCTCCCCACTGCCAAAAAAAAATGAACAAAAACCCCAAAAACAAACAGAAAAAAACCCCAAACAAAACATCACCAAAAAAACCCACAAACAAACAAAACCCCCCACAACAAATAAAACCACACGAACTTCCGGAGGGGAGTTGAAAGCTCCAGACAACTTTTATGGTCATTATTCCCATGCCATAATATGTGGCACACTGAAAAATATTTAAGGGTAACATCATTTTAATATGAAATGCCAAAACGGGTGGTACGGTGATTGTATTATTGAGTATTGTATGGAATTCAGTTAAAACTTGTCTTGTTAGTAAATCTTGCATCATTGCTGGCAGCTGCTGTGAGGAATCCTGAGATTTTTTTTTAAGGATGTCCATCCCATTCCTAGCGGTGCCTGAGGAGCTGGTGCACTGCTGCCCAATACAGTAAGACGACTGAATCTTGTGAGGTTGATTGCAGATTGCTATCAGAGTAATAAAAAGCAAGTTAAAAATTACAAAAACCTGGTACCTACAAAAGCTCATGAGCCGTAGAAATGACCTGTGACTAACTCCTTACTACCTCTGAGTAATTGTTAATTTGGTTGCCCGTTAGTGAGATTTGAGTTGGAAGAGTTGGACAAATTGCTGCTGGTCCTTATCATGATCTCTCTTTTTGTGCTGTTCCTGCACTGATGGAGCAGCTGTTGCTGGGAATCAAAACCCTGATCCACACACAAGGAGGAATAACTCATTTTTCCAGATAATACTTGCTGGCTTACTTATGTACACACAGAAGTGTACACATTTCTTTCCTACTGGTCTAAAAGGAGCAAGTTCTGTACAGCTGGGAAGGCTAAAAAGGAAACAGCATTTACCAAATGATAAAATTGGTAGGTTATATAGGAAAATAATCCTCAGAATATATTAATTCTTAAGTTTAGAAGTATTAAGATTATCTTCCTGAGCTAACCACTCCCTCTCAAGCACAGCTTTGAAATGTTTCCATTATGGAATCATAGCTGTCAGTTCAGGAAAGTGTTTAAAGTAATGATGAATAAACAATAAAGACCATGAAGGTTAAAGGTTAGAAATTAAACTTTTAACAACTATCTCCTGGCTTTGCAGCCTTAATACGTGTGCTGTGAGATTCCTGCTGTACATTAATATTCAGAAAGTTTTTCCCCATGAACATGTAATTGTTTGTATTAGAAGCTTAACTGGTGTACTCGAAATTAGAATCATGCCTGTGGGTATTTAAAATGGAAGAATAATACCAGCTAATGACTTCAGTGTAACTAGTAAAATTACATCAGGGAGAGCATTTCAGATTCTGCAGATTGGCCAAATTTATATTGATGAGGAACACATAAGATTTAGCTCAGTAAAATTTAATGAAACCAAGCATATATTGAGGAAATGGAAGTGTACAGGCTTATTTGTTGCAATGTGTGGAAATTGGTTAACTTTTTATTTCAGAGATAAATGAAGTTCTGCTTTGTGGAAATTTATGATTATTTTCTAACACATTGTTACTTCTTTTGATGTAAACAGTTACATGGTCTTGCAGATAGGTTTCTTTAGTAAATTAAATTTATTGAGCGTGTTTCTTCGCAGGCAAACATATTTCTTCACCAAGCCCACAGAGCAGAAACAACTGAGCTGATCTGAAATACAGGAGGAAATCAGGAGAGTTTCTGTTCAGAGTTCCAAATGTTTTCTAGAAAAACGCTCCATCACTTTTCTGGCTGTTTTCAATTTTATAGCATCTTTTTCTGCTCAAAGATACACCTCCTCTAAAGAATACACAGCTCATTACCTTGGGCCACGTCAGTGTTCAGGTCCCAGCAAACTCCATTTGCATCCATCATCTGCTTTGCCATGTGAGCTACAATGTGTGACAGGTTCTAATTCCTCCAAGAAGTGCAACTGCTTCTCACTTTTGTCCTCAGAATTTGGTGTAACTGCATCCTCCAGTTTCAGCAGAGTTTTGCTTAATCTAAACCATCGGGTTCTATAAATAACTTCTTGCTGTGAAATGTACAGGAGGCAGCATTTGGGATCTTGGTGTTAATTGCAAAGAACTGAGAGGTTCAAGATGAAAACAGAATCCGTATTGTGGACTTACTAGTGAAGATTCAGAGCCTGAAAAGAGTAGAATAGAATTAGTGAAATAGTTTATTTATTTATTTGTGTATTAGTAGAATTAGCTGGACAACTTATGGTAAAATACTGGGTACTTCAACAGTGTTACAAGAAAGGGAGATGTGAATTCAAATACACCCATGCTTTAATGAACCAGTTAAAGCTTTCAGGGAATCAGAGGATGCACAAGTGCTGAAATAGAATGAGATAAATCTCTTTTTTAAAGTTGGACAGTTTATTCAGAGATTGAATCAAATTAAGAGCATATGTGTGATGTCCTACTAGCACAGAAATAGTGTAGTGAATGAACAAAAAGGTAAGCCTAATAATGTTATCCGTAGAACATCTGAAAGGAAGCAGAACAGAACAACATGTCTTAACCAAACAGCTCACAAAGCAGCCCTCTGATGTATCAAAGCTAATTAGGACAGAGTCCAACAATTACAAAAGATATTTAATCATAAAGAGATACCCAGCAATGTTTTGTCTTATCTCTTAAGCAGATCATTAAAGGCTTCCTGTCGTATTTCCTCATGACTTCTTTTCAGGAAAATCTATTACTCTTTCCTCAGGAGGAGACTGAGACCTACCAGAGCACTTCATTTGGCCCCCTCCCAGCCACCCTGTATCCTGTGATCCAGCCAGGGAATAACAATCACCTGCATGAATAGTTCTCACAACAGCAGTGCGCTCGGAGCGTTGCCTTTCCTGATCGTCCTCATCACGCGACACAACGTGGGTTCAAAATTTGGATCCCAACTCTGTGGCACGTGTGCAGACAAACTTCAAGGCAGTCATCCCAGCACAGAGTCAGCTTTTGCCATAGGAGCAAGCTTGGGTGCTGCTGGCATGGCATTGTCTCAAATTCCTGAGAAAAAAAATAGGAATTACCTGCAACAGTTAATGCAGGGAGAAGCAGGGCGGGTACTGTACGAGAAGTTTCTCAAAGTCTTTCTGTCAGCACCACCTTTTGCTTTCATATGATTTTGTGTGTTATAGTCTGGGGCACAATCCTTGAACAAAACAACAACTCTTTTTCCATTTAAAGAAAGTCTGGATAGAATAGTCCTCCAGCAGGTTATTGGGGCAGACTTTCATTCCTGTACATATGAGAAACGTGTGGGAATAGAGGTAACCAGCCAGCCTGTATCCCAGACTGATGCCTGAAGGTTCCATTGTTTATTTTTTCACATCAATAACAATATTGTAAAAATAACTTTTCAGCTGAACCGATTTACACACTCTCAGATGGCTCTTGTTCTTTTTGTCCTTCCTTGGCTGTCCTCCACAGCCTTGTAATGGAAATCACTGCACAGTTCTCTGCTCAGCCTTTGGATTTCTATCTCTTTATAGGGGAGATGTGTGTGCTCCACAAGTGTGTTTTTCCAGGATTCTTCCTTGTCACGCTGTAAAATTGATGCAAAGCACGTCCTGCCGTTTTTCTAAGCAGAGGGAGAAATTGTGTCATCCCCCACAACAGGCTCTTCATTGCCACTTGACCTGTCTCCAGTCCACTGTTCAGTCCTATCCATAGGTAATCTCTCTTTTTAATGGAAAGTGTTTTGGTTTAGAAAAATGTCTGTGTTTCTCATGTGGGTTTTTGCCCTCACTTTACTTCAATTTGTACTTCAATAACAAAGCAACTGAATGTAATATATAAAAATCCATTTGTTTTCTGAAATTAAGTGAACTTCATCCAAGCTCAAAATCCTGACAGTCACTTTTAACATTTGGAAGATTTTGCAAGCACACACTGCAAAAAATATTTTGACATCTAGGCTGTCAGATAATCTGTCAGCAACAGTTATATCATTCAGGGAGAGAACTGTTAATTTCCAGAGTAATTTATTTGGAAAATAATGCATTTACTGCAGTGAAATATCCTACTGGATGCTAGAGAAGCTACTTAGCATTTGTGCAGGCAGAGTAGTTGGCTTCAGAACGTGGGTTATTCTCTTGCAACAAAAACACAGGAAAAGAAATTCTTGCCAGAAACCATCAGTGAAGAGCAGGTACCTGCAAAGGGCAGGATGGTCACAGACGTGCAGGAAGTGTTAGGAACTCCATGCAGAAGGATGTAATGCCTGGAGAAAAGGAGAGGAGTGCTCAGGGTCACACTCTTTACAGAATAGGCTCCTGGGGCACAAGGGATCATACACCAAATGCTTTACTTGGAATAATCTTTAAACGCCAGGGAAGTTGTCAGCACTGTGGTGCTGTGCCCAGAAAAAAAAACAAACAAAAAAATCTTCCAATTCTGCTTCAGTTTTCTCTGTCCATTTATTTATCCATTACAAATCGATCTTGTTTCTGTAGGAAAATGTCAGAGCATTATGTGTAATGATGGTGATGATCATCCCCAAAGGGCTCAGGGGACTAAAGCCCAGGTCTTGTCTACTTGTGCTGTTGGATGGTGTCAATCTGAGGCTGCATCGTGTTTCATCTGGCATAATTTGTGTCCCATCCTGATTTACACATAAAATTTAAGTTATAACTGTGATTTCTTTTAAAGAAAATATGTGCTTTTTCATGCATTTTACTGTGTAATTAACAAACAGTAAATTTGTTACCCTGCTTATTGCTTTTGTTGGCAATGATGTCAACAAAAGCTGTGATTTTGCAGGAATAAGCAAGGCCAGGTCACAGAGGAAGACTGGCAACTTTAAAGATTATTCAGCACTTAAAGAAAGGTATTAGCAACATGGGCAATCTCAGCTTTCAAATTCTTCTTAATTCTGTCCCTGTCTAATTACTCACCCAAGTCTCACTGGCACTTACCTTTCATTGAGGTTAATGCCACTCTCAGAGCTCTGTCAAGCTGCTTCTTCCAGAGGCTTTTTTTCTGTGCTCCCCCTGATGCAGGAGATGTTTTCTCTTTTCAGACAGACAAAGCCATTAGATCAAGTTGATGAATTTTGCTCTGAGTTTTCTGTGTTCTGAGTCACTTTTAGAAATTGCAAAACAAAATGTATAAGACACCCTCTTTAGATTGTTAGACCTTACCTCATCTACATCAACCTTTTATTCTGTTGCCATTTTTAGTGGAAAGACAACGTAACATTATTGTGGGAACTTCTGTGTTTTATCATTTTCATTTAACTTCAGTGAAACTAAAACATTATAAACTCTTGCCATATTCATCTTTATCCTCCTTATTTGTCCTTATGCATTCTTTTTTTTCTGAGGCAAATCAGAAGAGGGGGAAAGAAAAGGGTGAGGGTAAAAGGAGGAAAGAGTAAAAGAAGAACAAAACAAAGGAGAAAAAAAAAGTTTTTATACTTATTCTTGGAAATTTTTAACTTGAGAAAATACCCTATTTAAAGGGTTTACAGTTATTTCGTACAGAATAACAGTAGTTTTGTCTTTCTAAAAAATTCTCTGCCATTTCTACTGTAAATTAGCATAGCTCCACCCAGGTCAATTGAGGACAAGTTGCACAAACTTTAGCCACTGTATTAGCCCACATTTAATACGTTTTAAAATACTTCATCCGAGTTGACAAGATGCACATATGGTTTCTGAGTTATGGATTGAAGGGCTGCAGCTTTTACCCTTCCTCTCTGTCTCCTCACTGTCATATTTCACTCACAATCTTACTGCATCAGACTTGGATTATCAGCCTTTTTTTGTCCATAAAGCATCCAGCATATTAATGTTTTGCATAAATTATAAGAAATTTAATCCAAAATCAACTAAAAAATATTATTTTGCAAAATCGCAGCAGATTTTAAAACTGAGCAGTCCAAGCTTTTCGGAATGTATTGTGGATGTTGTCGTGATTTATGTGCTGTCAGTTATTTTTGTATATGTTGAAAAAAAAACCTGACAAGTTTCTATCTCACATTTCATAAATCAGGGTTTTCTGTATACAAAGCACGTGTCAGAAATCAGTATCTAAACAACATGCCAGTTGGCTTCTCCATGTGGCAGCTTGTAAACAAAAATATTTGGGGACTGCGCATTTGTGACATGACGTGTAATGCGATGTAAAAACACCAGTTATTGGGAAATAATCCTGTTCCTTAACATTGCTAATAACATGATAAATCTTGCTTGCACTGCTGCATCACAGTTCAGCAGGTGGAACTTTCCAAATTCAGGTGGTTCTGTTGTTTTTTTCCAAGTAGGTGTATGGAGAGGTTAAATACTTTATTAGTGACCCATCTGTGCATCAGAGGGCTATGTCAAAACTGACGGGGTGTTCTGTGCATTTGTCTTGTAAGTTTTCCCCATATTAATTGTGTTTTGGTCAGAGACAAATTCTGGTTGTACTGAAATCAGTGAAGGATTTTCCACCAACTTTCAGGGAACTTTCAGGGATCAGGAATCAGCTGTCAGAGGACAGGGGAATTACCAGGGCAAACCCTGCCAGCTGTTCACACAGTGCAGGTTCCAAGATGTGAATCAGCATCCACGAGATTTCAACTCGATATGATGAGAACACAAAATACAACACTGCAAAGTATTTCATTCCGTGAAAGCCAAACCAAACAGGACAAGTCTTGTGGAGAAGATGCAAAGACACATTTTTACATCTTCCCAGTGTAAATGCAGCCGGAAAAGGCTAAAGCAGATCACGTTTAAGGAATAAAAGGTTGAGCAGGATATGGGAAAACCAGAATGAACTAAAAGTAGTTGTTACGTGACTGGATGCTGTTTAAATGACCATTGCAGCACAGAGGGTTTGAAGCAGGGCTGAGGATCATCAACAGGCCTAACATTAGTACATCACAAAGTGCAGGACATGAAAGTAATTTAAAACCCCCAAGAATTTTTATTATTAGTCAATGATGCAGGTTCTTTTAACATTTTATCCATTTTTTGGTTGTTGTCAAGCCGGCAAATAAACATTCATAGGATCCTCTGTAAAATATGATTTCTTTTTGTTCTTTTGCTGCTACATCTAGTTAAATAGTCTGGCATTTCTGTTCATGTGTCTTGTTATGTTTTATGCCACATCCATTTTTGCAAAATCAGACACCAAATAAGGAAAAAACAATTAATGAACTGTGCAATAGGTAAGTAGCTTCCTAGTGTTGTGACAAGGGGGGAAAAATGCTGATTTTATTCCCATAAATCAAAGTAATCATGCAAATATTGAACTTTATAACCTTAATTTGTTCTCATATGTTTCAAAATTTCACTGCTACTTTCAGCCAAACATGAATTAATAATGGTTCCAAATGCCTGTAGATTATTTAATTAAAACAGAGTAAATTCATTTTTCATTCTCAGCTAAGTGACATAAAACAGACTTCGCAGGGAGAAGGCCATACTCAGGATTCTGATGTCCCTGAAGATTCTTTATCTCAAGAATTTTAATAAAGTCTTTACTGTTTTCTTCCTTTTGTATTAACACACTCTGTGGTGTTTTGTCTTTACAGTAGACATCCATAATCCCAAATTATATTTCTGTCCAAGGTTTGGGGGGGTTTTTTTGGTAGTTTAAATGGTTTTTTGCTGGTTTTTTATGTCCGACAGTCTTCCTGCAGACTTTCTGTGGACTTTCGTAGTTCAGACTCATTTGTTTAATTGATAAATAGTTTTGCACAAAATTTTGTACTCCCAGCCATAGTTTTGTAATTATTTCAAAAGAAGGAAACTGATAAGTCATTTAGGAAAAAAAGGAAGGAAGCTGATTATTGTCAATTAACATAAATTCTGACATGCAAACACCAGAGAGGAAAGAAATAGTGCAAAAGCAGGCTGAAAACAACAAATTGTGGT